GATAGGGACAGATTTTGTGTTGACTGATGATGAAAATGTGTTCAAGTAAATTTTTGTTTCTTGGGGGCGTCTCCTTCCTTTTCCATGTGCTAATTTCTTTTTCAATAAAAGATATATTCCAAAATAGTCAAAAATTCATACCATTGCAAGGTTGTTTCCTGGAAAATCAATTCTCAGTTGAAATAGAGTTAAATACATATTTTCAATCTTTATCCATCTTTTGTTGTCGCACATTTTGTGTTTGTATTTGTTTTGCATTGTAATACAAGAGTTTTCAGTGACTTAGAGAAAGTAAAGTAATGTTTGGACACGTTTAATCAGCCCTGTTATGCCGACTGCTTCCCCTGCTCTGCAGGTCGGGCACTGAGATTAGTTGGTCTGGTCTACCTGTCTGGTTTTGTGATCATACCGACAGTTCTGTCTGATTGCATCTGCAAAGTTCCTGATCTTACTAATGTGTCTGTTTCTGTAGCAAACACCTCCCTGTCTCTGTTGACCTTAGCACATGTGATTAAATCTGGGTGTGTGAATGTGTGTCAGGCTTTGTTCAGACAGTGACAGGTGAATTAGTTTGTATGTCTTTTCCGTGCAGGCAGGTAAATAAATGTAATACTCACAATGAACTCTGACGCGATGATCCCGTCCACAATGGCACAGAAGAAAGACGCAATGACTCCGATACTGATGAATATGATCGCTGCCACGAGCTTAAAGAGATGAAGATTGCAGAGGAAGAAAAAAAAAAAGGGGGNNGGGGGGGGGGTACAGTCATGAAAAACTATTTTTAAAAGTACAAGTAAGTATCATCAAGGTAGAAATGTATGATATTATCAGCATGTGTGGATTGGAAACACACTTCTAAATAAGTTATTCTGATTTTGATCATTTATTATACTCACAGTATCATCATTTCATTTTCCTGATTATTTAACTTTTGTTTCCTATTAATTAGTTGGCTAGAATTTGCATTATAGAGGGCAAAGTCATTGTTTCATAAGCTTAACACACACACACACACGCACGTGTTAGGACTGGTGTTTCTGCTGGTGTGTGCCCTGATTGGTTGTCTGCAGCGTCTGGACCACAGAACTATAAAGGAAATGTACGGCTTCTTGCTCTGCCAACGCAGAGGTGCTTTGTGGGTAATTTATGGGCAAAGAGGCAACATACAGGACAGAGGGACGGCTTTTTGTACCAGCAAGGTCAATTTAATTCTCCCAATCTGATACACACACACAAACACACACACAGGCCTGGAAAGAACAAATTCACATTGTTGCTTATCTCACACATTCACAATAAGTTAAGCCTTACGAATCAAATCACTGATCAATAACCTCAAATCTTTACTTTTCAAACAACTCCCAAGTAATTTTCTGATGTCACACACACACACAGACACACATACAGCGGCAGCAGACCCAGCTGGCTGATCACAGATGTTTGATCATGAACTTTATCACTGAGCATCGTTTACTGTCTGTTCAATCGCTCCTCCAGGACCGAACCTCCTGTACTGAAGCAGGAGATTAAACACACTGTTTTTCTGTCTACTGTATCTATTTCGCTACAATGGCAGGTGGGGTTGTCCCAGAAATGAAGGAAGGAAAGTAAAAAGGTAGTCTAGATTTTTAACATCTACTGATCCTACATTTACATGGGTTCCTTTTGTTGACTTTTGATGCCATTTAAGATCTTCAGTTTTTCTTGAGAGATACAGCCGATGCTCCTGAAGCAGCACAAGTGATTCCTTATGAGACTCAGAAAGACGCTTTAATCAATCAGAAGCCATGAATTCTCCAACTTAGCTTATATTCCTAATTGGTTTGTTATTGTCTATTTTTTGTCCCAAAGTTCCTCTGACAACAAAAAATTGTTTGTGAAACTAAACTTTGTTGATTTGTCAGTTCCTATTTTCGCTCTTTTTTTCATGTGAAACTAAAAGTTTTGACCAAAACTAAAAGAATTTAAAATTCTGCAAACAATAAGTATGAGAATCTAATATTTGACATCAGTTTCCACGGAAGACATTTGATATGTCACAGGTGTAATTAGCTGAATTCCATTTAGCTGCAACATTAATGTTATTAGTCTGCTGTGAAAAATGCCTTTTACATTTTATATAATAAAGGAAGGTTTTTGTCTATAATATATAATGTTGTCACTGACCGCGGCTGATTAGACCTCTGCTCAGGTAGAAGTTGGGTGGAGTTATGTTGGAAATGATGTGAAGTTATCAACTTTCATGTACCGTAGGCTGCACCTCATTTGGTCATGCCGGTGCACCATCTGTTTCTTAGCCGTTAAGGGTGGGGAAACAAAGAGGAGGCGTTGCATAAGGCAGCAGGTATGACGTTAAACCTCCATCAGCTGATAATCAAACAGAAGCAGATGGTGGAGATGCTGTATTAAACATTTAATCTTTTTACAGCTTTTAGGTTTTACCAGAGGTAGTCCAGTACCTTTTTAATTCAGATTCAGTCGATAACAGCCTTTTGACACACTGTCTGTGTGTATTAGTCTGTATTGTTTTGGCATGGGTTAACCTGTTTAAACCCTCCAACTACCATCTATTGTGCATCAAGGTTATTATAGTTAACTAAAACTAAACTAACAACTAAAACTAAGTGTTAAGAACTTTTTAGTTAAATGAAATAAAAAATTATACTTATATTGCATACTTACAAAGCTAACTTGAATAAAATAACATTTGAAACAATAAAAACTAAACTAAATGTGCAAACCCACTCTGGAAACTAACTGAAACTAAATTGAATTGAAAACAAGACTCAAAAAAGAAATAAAAATAAAAACTAATGAAACATAAAAAACAATAAAAACTTGTGTGTATGCAGACCCATTGTGTATACAGTGTGCACCTAGAGACGAGTGCTATTAAATTAGCTTTTACGCTACCTCTAGTACATCAAATGACAGCATTTATATATACAAATAATATGAAATGAATAAAAGGCTGGAATAACAGTTAAACACAACTTCCTTCACAAATACAGTTTGCCAAATTGCCATACAACTTTTGAGTGCATCCCATAATAAAGTTGTAAAAGTTATATCACTTAAACAAGTGAAAAAAAGCCCCGTCTGTACACAAATTTAATGAAAACACCTTTATAGGTGACACATTGATATGCAGGGCCTTTAAGTGATTAAGCTTTATTTTGTGTTTCGGTTCCATAGGTTGCGGCCAGTCAGAAGTAAGCTGTCCATTATAGTGCTGTAAATGATGATCAATTTTATTCAGGGTAATGTTTAGTTAACCCAGTGGCCATGTGTTATGCCTACGTGAGAATATCACAAGACGTAGTGAAAACTAATATTAAAACGTGAATTTTCCTTCAACAAAGTGAAATAAGAGCCATGCTGAGAGAATGCGCTTTTTCTGTGTGGGTTTTATCTGCCACTGGCCCAGGCTCTCCACTTCATTAGCGGTTTAAATGACTCTGCTTTTATGGCTGCAAGTGGGAGATGAGGCCAGCAGCAGAGACAATAGAGCCTGACAACTGCATTACTTCACATTACCTTAGCACCAGCTGCCAGCACATAAAACACCTCAACACACACTCTGTCGTCCAAAACCCCTGAATATCCCCTAATACAACTGGAGCAGAGAGAAAAGTCAAATAGCGTAAGAGATTAAAGACACACAGACACACACTGTACTTTTACATCAGAAGGATTTTAAATGAAGGACTTTTACCTGTATTTAAAGGTCCAGTGCGTAAAATTTAGACGGATGGAATATAATATTCATAGGAAGGTTTTCTTTAGTGTATAATCACCTGAATATAGAAATCACCCTCCATGGAGTCTGCTATGTTGAACCACCATGTTTCTACAGTAGCCCAGAAGGGATAAACTGGCTGTAGATTGGGCCTTTCACATTTTTTGTGAGTTTTGTGGCCACCGTGGTTTCTCCTACACTTTACAGCCCGTTCTCATTCCCAGGTCGTCAAATACAAACGCCAGCAGTGTTTAAACATCACTGCTAGATGACACTAAATCCTACACACTGGTCCTTTGAACCTGCCATTGTGGATTTTTTTTGGCCACTTGGGGGCCGCAGAAACATATATCACATATCATCACCTTTTATATATATACATATATATATATATATATATACATACACATCCAGCAGTTACAGTTGTGTTTATGGCCATCTGGTGAATTTAAGTCCAACATTAACTCTCTATTTGCTCTGTTTCTGGTCTCCATCAACTCAGAAATAGCTGACTCTTTGGCTGATATATGCTCCACTATTCATATTGTTCATGTTTTCAGCTGAACAACGAGTTCAACTCAACAATGAGAACTCGCAATAAAGCTCTGTAAATCCGAGGTGAGCTGCGGATTCAGGAGATAATTCTCTGTAGATTCATCAGCACGAGTGATTCCTTTCACACTGCCACACTGCTTACACACTGTCATTTGATTCATTGTTAATATATAAAGTATAAAATATTCTAGCTGCGTTAGTAGTAGTGAAAGGCAGAGAGAAATACCAATAAAAGACAGACACACATGATGAAAGCTTTAGAGAAGAAGATACATCAGTAACGAAGAGATAAAGACACAAAAAGGAATTTTATAGGATTCAGTAAAGATACCTATCAGGTTACGTAACTAAAGTCGCTGACCGCTGCAAGGTCTTTTTCTCCTGCTCAGTGGTCCAGTGACCAATCATGACCACAGCTGAACACACTGGTAATAAGAACTTGTTGGGTAAAATACGGCCCTTTAAAAGGTTCGTCGTTCTGCTCTCCATGCTGCAAGGTGACCAAAAGGACGGCGGTCTGTGAGATACAGGCAGTAAGAGGCTGCTGGAGCAAAGAACATGAGCTACATGAAGCATTTAGTCATAAAGAAATCTTACAGTGTATCAGGGCACTGAAGCATGTTTTAGGAGCAGCAGGGTGAGCGCAGATAGGAAGGGAGTTTTTCTTTTTTTTTTCTTTCTTTTACAGACAGAATTTCATGCTCCACAATCCTTTTAAACATTTTGGCGGACAAGATAAGCCAAAATGAAAAGTGGCAGTCATTCCTTTTTTTTTTTAAGGCTTTAACCAAGAAATGTCAGTGGGGCACGAATGTGTGTTTTACCTGCAACACACCTCACATTCATAAAGAGGGCTGGTCTCTAGGGAGCCTGAAAAAAAAAACTCAGCAAAGAGACTCAACTAGACAGTGTTTTAACACTCAAACCTAAAACAATTCCCAATTCTATGAGACCAGGGTTTCTATTATGGATGACAAGTGTTTATACAAACCTTATTATATGGAGGCTGTTCTGTCACTCAAAAAAAAACATACCTTAAATACAATGTCTGTGTTTATTACACCATGTCCAAAACCGTACCTCGATTTTAACCACAAAATTCTGGCAACCAGGTTGTTTTTGACACAAACTACAGACAAAACCTGACAGATGACTCAAATCTTATACAAACAGATGTCAGAGCAATTGTGTAGATACCTGATGAAGCTGCTGTAAGAAATTTAAAAAAAATAGTCACCATTTACTATGACTAGATATAACAATAAGTAATGCATCCCTCTGAACATGTGTGACCAGTATGAACTTAATTTATCTGCTAATCTTTACATACACATGACTTAAACTCAGCACAACCGATGTTGGGCTTGATCAGTCTGTATCAAGTAATCTATGGACTCTGGTACAGAGCTAATATCAGGAATGAAGGCCACCATGCTGCAGTATACTGTACATAATTGTGCACATATATTCTCAAAAACAGCCCTAGAAACAACAAATAGACACAATATATAATAAAGTCAGCATAAATTACTAGAGCAATAATCACCCGAGTTACATATTCAGCCACTGTTTTAAACTGAAATTTTAATAAATTGAAACGTTGAAGCTTTTTTTGTGTTTTATTGTTTTATTGCTAAAATTAGATTTTTGTTATGTAATATAACTGTTTACAATTGTTTTAAAGGGCCAGTGTGTAGGATTCAGTGGCATCTAGATTGCTCGCAAATGGCCCTATCAGGAGCCAGTGTTTGATTTGTCCCTTCCGGGCTACTGTACAAACATGGCGGTTCAACATTGTAGACCTATAGCGTTTTTAGATATAAGCGGCTCATTCTAAGGTAACAAAAACATAACAATTTCTATATTCAGGTGATTATACACTAATGAAAATATATATATATGAATATTATATTCAGTTTCTGCCAATACATCCTCCTAAATGTTACACACTAGTCCTTTAAATTAGATTTCATAGGATGCAGATTTTTAGTGCACTGTTATCATTTTATTTATATTTTAATGTTATATATACTTTTACTTTTGCTCTGCATTAGTGTATCTGTATTGTCTGTTTATCTTTCTGTATTATCAGTCAGTCACATTGAACTGCACTAACCTGAGTACAAAGGGCTATACAAATACATTTTGACTGCTTCGTTGTATTAGATTAAATTTCTCCAGTCAGGAATCAAACCAGAAATGTCTCCGTTTCAGTAGCAGCAGATGAATTTGACGTATCTCTGACTGTTTACAGTTAAAACAACATGAAACTCTACGTCTGCTGCTTTATGAGGTCAGAGGACCAAAAGGCTGTGAGATTCAGGAAGTAAGAGGAGCTTCAGAGCTATCAGATGTCTCTGGCATTGTGGTACGGTTAGTTGTTCTTTAATGAGAGACCTGGCTCTGCCAGTGGGCTCTCGTGTTACAGTACGAGCCTCAGAGACAGAAGGGAAGAAGACACCTGTGTGAGTGGAACATCGTGCCACATGTGCCTCATAAGAGACACTGTAGACCAGCTCTAGTGTGGCAGTGATCACACCATTAAAGTTTAAAGCGCAGAACTGGGAGCGATGCCGGAGAGGCAGACAGATACAGCAGGTAGTAAATTTGTCTTTGTCGATTCACACAGTGAGTGTGTGACAACAGCAAGGACTCAGAAGGAGTGAGAGCTAACAGAAAGTATTGAACTTCTTAAACTTAAATGATGCCTTATTTAGGACTATGACAGCTGCACACACACACACAAGACACACTGCATCTCCCCACATGTGTGAACAGACGTTGGAAGGGTATCTGTGTAGACCGGATTAGATACGGTACACTGTAACGCAACGTAAGACAGTCTGGATGCCACATGAAAAATTCACAACACACACTGATATACCACAGTCCCGGTGAATGGTGACAGGCAGAGGGAACGTTAACATCTATCACTACAAGACAGTTTTTCTGTTTCTTGGTACTCTATCAAGCTTATCTCCAAATGTCTCTAAAATATCTGTAAAACACACTGTGTATTTTATAATCTGGTTACATAGTATTTCTAGGCTTGATTGACTGTTAATTGAAACTATGCTCCCCTTATTGTTGGATGGGACATAATGCAGTTTAGAATAATCACAGTGGCAGATTTACCACTCAAAATTATTAGTATTTTGCCAATAACAATGACGCAATAGTAGACAAAAGCAGGTTTCTCATTTCTAGCCGGTGATTTTGTCAGCTAAAATGATGACTGCAGGACTTATTGTCTCCAGCAGACCTTTTTAACGTTCCCAGCTGACTCGTTTTAAAACAATAATTTTGTAAAAAGGAGTCATGAAAATGTATTTGATGGCTATATGTGATATCATGCTGAGGCTAAAGCTTCATCTCTCAGGCAAAAAATCATCCTCATGATCCATGTCACAGAAATAAGTTAACTTTTTCCAAATCTAACACTGCAGGGCAGAGATGTTACCTACGTGGGAGTGAATCTATCTTCCCAGGGTCCTATGTTCCCTTATCCTAACTGTACAACATAGGACCCTGAAAACACATTCAGGTCAACGAAAGAAGGAAGAATTTGCACATTTCCTCACCAAAATGTTTAATCATGGTAGTGTAGAGAAGGCATGGAAAAAACATTTAGTCCTGAATGCAATTAGAAAATATATTCTGAGGGAGAAGCAGTCTGTTAATTTGGAGTCAATCCTGGTTACGGCCCTGTAATGTCCTGGTGTAACTGAAACTAAATCTCACTTTGGTTTCTTCTCTACACTCTCTGTCCCTTTCTTTTTTCTGATATTTTAAACAATGTAATGTTGTGATGAATGCTAATGGTGACTTGACTGTCAAGCTGAGTTTAAAATGGTGAATTAAAGCCCCTATAAAGTACTTTTATTTTGTTTTGATTCTGGCAGCCCCTGTGAGCCCCAAAAGCGGTAATGTTTCTATCACCTCGTTTCATTGATTTCAAGGGAAATCTGACTGAATCCAACCCGGTGGCAGATATTAAAAATAACTACAGAAACAGCCTTTGTTTATGTAGATGAAATAGAAGCATCAGAATGATCCTACGGGACTTTTCTGAGAATAAACTGGGAAGACGAAATGAAACGTGATTGGAACTTGGAAACTGTAACTTTTAAACGTTTTTTTAACACTAAGCTAAATTAGATGACATAATAATTCGGACGAATTCAGAGTTGATAAACAAGGATTCACAATCTGCTAAAGTTTCTGTGTCACAGGTGTCCTCTTAACACAGTTAGTCTCATGCTGGGTTTCATGTACTGCGAATGTGATACTGACTACGTTACTTAAATGACCCAGTGGAACAATTTGAGCTTCTGGTTGCCACTGGCCCTTAAGTAGCATTTGTCGGCCAGTTGACTGTCACAATTGACACTGATTGGAGGTCAGTTCATGTGGACTGTGTTCCCCTTATTCTGTTTCTATATCTTTTAGATGAGTGTGAAGCTCTCAAACTGGGGATTTTACTCTGTTCACCATCAGAGACCAGAGACTGACCTCTGATCAGATGCTTCACTCTTACATTGTAAGAGAAGTCAACAATCTTTTCAGACAGCTCTACCTGTAAGCACATCTGCTCTGGAGTCATAGACATAATAATTCTTTGAACTCCCTGTTGTGCAGACAGGCACTTTAATGATATTATACCTGTGTCCCTGTCTGAAATAAAGGAGCCCTGTCAGCAGCTGACCAATACTAATGCAATTTCCCCTCTTGTCATTGAAATCCAGAGCCAATCACATTCACTTCCACCGACCACAACTCCAGTCATGTACACAGACCCGGGCTCAAGGACCAAGAACACATTACAACGTCATTGAGTAATCTGATTTGTTTCTTGCTCATAATAGAGCAATTTCCTGTAAAACTGTTTAGTGAATTTGCAAAGTCTGTAACATAATCCTCTAATTTATGGTGTATATATGTCCTGTTTTCCAGGAACAATGTCTCATTTTTAGAAGATATTATAAAGCTCGAAAAGCTGACAGAAGCCACCTTGAGAGTGAACAAGTGTTGCACAATTCAAGCTGTCATTGTAAACAAACAAAGGGCCCACAATCAGGTTGAATTACAGGCTGTATCATTACAAAAGGACATAGTCTCCATGACGCCCATAGGTTTTTGAAGAGCCATTTTAAAGCTCATTCCTGACTTTGCTGGGCAAAAACTGTGGGTGGAATTGAGGGTGGGCACCCACCTGTCACTCAGGTGGTGTGGCCATGCCCTTAATTATACATAACTTTAGCCTTAAATTAATTTAAACAAGTCAGGAATGGGGAATTTAACCACTGGCCCTTAAGTAGCATCCAAATGAGGGGTCTAAATGAAGGCCATAAAGGTCTCAAATGGATGGAATAAATGAAATCAACATTATAATGTGTTTTTAAATGTGTTGCACCAATGACATGAGAGGCAGAGGAGCAGACTCACCATGGGTCTGCGGTTTTCCACCAGGTGGATGCCAACAATGCCCAGAAATGCTCCAAAACTCAGCTGGAGGCACAGGGCAAAGTGAAAGACACAAGAACAAACATTAGGGTTCAGAGGAAGGAAGGAGGAGATTTAAAAAATATATCATATAGTGTTTGAAGGGTCAATGACGGAGGTGACTGTGACTCACGGTGATGCCGGGGTAATATCCAGCAACAGGCACGTTGTCAGTGCGAGTGGCAGAGATCAGACCCACAGTCAGCACCACCAGAGCCAGAAGCAGCAGAGACACGGTCATCCACAGAGCTGATCTCCTCCGACGCAGGTACTGAACTGAGGATGGAGGGGGAAGAAAAAGAGGACATGCATTACCACTAATTCCCCCCGTCCTTAACCTTCAATATTACATGTTATTCCCGAACCTAATTCTGAACATAAAATCCAAATCCTAATTTCTAACTTCATCTAATTTCTTTCATTTTTTACCTGATAGATTCCAGCAGTAGTGGCAAAAGTATTCAAATCATTTAATGAAGTAAAAGTACCAACAATACAAAAACCCTGCCAAAGTCATGCATTCAAAATCCTACTACCTAATTATCAACATTATTATACATCACACTCATTTGTGTACTTGTTTTATATACTGTTGTGTGCTTTATTTTCCTGCATCATATAATATATGATTGTTAAAGGTTTTGTGTGCAGGATTTATTGTTTGTCATATTTTTGTTTTGAAGCACAAATACCACTTTATATTTACATTTTTAGTCAGCAAGTATAGTTGATGAATGTAAAAAGAAGAACACAAGCTTAAACGCAAGAAACCTGTCTTTGAGAATGAAATTAACCCCTTGTCCCTTTTTTTGGAGGACTTTTTGCTCACAAATATAACGAAAAACTTGAAATAACTGTACCTGCTGGATCCAGTATTTCTGTCGCTGTTTGCTGAGTTGGCTGCTGGGTTTCAGGCTGCTGCATTTTGACTCAGTCCGGATGAATTGGCTCTAAATATGAATATGAAAATATGAAGACGCTCTTCACTGTTTACTGTTTGTCCCTGTTGATTCAAAGCAGAGTCCTCATCCTCCACGGAGCAAGCTGCGAGTAAAATGGGCTTTTCCCTTTACAATTCACTCGTTTTTTTGATAAGTAAGAGTGCGATTTCATATAAATGTTACCACAGCTGATTCTGAGCTCAGAGACGGGTTCAAGTTTTCTTGAAACCAGAGAGAGAGAGAGAGACCAATCAGCTCCCAGTATCCACCTGAGTGATCAATTATTAAATCATGTATGTTACATAAGTTTAATACAGCTCAGACTTTGTATTCCTGTTGAGAACACTTACAGTATTTGGTTAAACTCTGTGCTCTATAACTAAAAGGTGGTTAAAGTGAGTTTTGGGTGGTTTGGTGACTGTTGGTGGTTATGACGCTGCAGCGTTGACGAGGAACTAATATGAGTTTACAGCGACCTCCTGTGGCCAACTCAATCCAACCGATATGAAAGCATGAGGGAAATTCCTGCTTTTCTTATTATTCTTTTACATACGAACTACCATTCAAAAAGAAATACCAGTACAACCTTTTAGATGTTTGACCTCGTTAGAGAACCTGATTAAATGGTTCAAAGTTTAAAGAAACATATAGAACCTACTTTAATTTCACCCATTAAAAAAAAAGATTTTAGTCCGTTTCAAGACTATTATTCCATTTAAAATAAATGTTTGTGCTCTGGCTGCCATGTGAGAATATAGGAACTACAGTGCTGTACTGAGACCCCTTTCTGGTGATAATTAAGAGTAATAATAATTTTAATGTATGTTTAAAGCCGTCAATTAAATGATCTTCAGAAAATTAATTAACAACCATTTTGATTGTTGATTAATCATTTAAATACATTTTCAAGATGAAATGCTAAACATTACCCAGTTTCAGCCTCATAGTTGTGAGTATTTCTTTGTCTTATGCGATTATTAAATGAATATATATGGGCTATTTAATTGAGAAAAGAAACTTTAAATTTTTAGAAAACTATCATAGGCATGTTTCACTATTTTGTGACATTTTATTTATTTATTTAATTATTCATAATAATCTGATTGAATTAAAACAGCTCTCCAAATGTATAATTCAGCTTTCCCATATCTTTCTCTCTTTCTCTTTTCAAAGGCTAGAACATAAACTGTACCGTTTTTAAATTACAACAGTAAACTTATTTAACATAATCAAATGACACATTTTGTCCAGTGTGTATACCACCACATCAGCACCAGAGATTACTTCAGTATGTCCTCATTTCACTATCAAATAGGTTCCTCTTAGCTGTCTGAATCTAGGTGTTGTCTGATCGTATCTGCCGGTGTTTTATCATTAGTACATAGGTACTGCTGCCTCTCTGTGGGGGAAGAACTGGATTTGTTTATGTGTCAGTTTCATGCAAAACGTGCTGATTTTTATAGCAAAATATTTATTTAAATTCATAATCATCTCTGCAGCAATGGATACAAGCGTATTTACACTTCTGAAGCTGCAGAACGATTATAACACACTGAAGACGAACAAGGTGGATACACAGACTGTGTTCAGAGGTATGTGTGTGTGTCATGGGGCCTAAATGTATTTGGCGTATAAAAGATATCTGAGAGAGCAAAAAAACTACCAGAGCTGCACTGCTAATAAAAAAATACTTCATCATCAACATCAATAAAGTTCATTGCCCTTCAAGTACATCACTAACCTAAAATCTCGTATGAAAAGTGCTTAAAAAATAAAGTTTGATTGACCGATAAGCAAACAGTTCATGTAAAATCCTCCATGCATCGTAGCCTCTTATGACACCGTGCAGGTGGAGGACTTGGGCGGCTGCTCCAGGATGGATTCTCGTCGTAGGTCGTTGGGCAAAGTGCCCTTGGCTCCCCAGACCGTGAGCTCATCGTAGATCCCCATCTCGATCATCTCCTCCTGCCAGGGGATGGAGATGTTACCCGAGGCAAACTCATCAAAAAACGCATTGTCCTTGTTGTCCACCTGCACGCCTTTCACCGTGGAGAAGGCCCCGACGTCGTCAATGTTCTTGGCATAAACTGTCTTAGAGTCTGGCACGAAAGGGGGTGTAAGGATCCCTGAGGAGAGACAACATACTTTTAGTACACTAACTTTTAGTACATAATCTATCGTGACAATATCAAAGTTATTTAAGGAAAAAACACATCTAGTTATTAAGAGTTTAACCCTAAACTCTATCTATCCCCCTTTATCACAACTGTGTGGGTGTGCTTTGGTCAATTTGATTGGCAGTGTCCTGGCAACATCACTGGATGTTGCTAAATCCTGATTGGTGTACAGAAATACGTGACATCAATTTTATTCAGTTCAATACGAGCCACTTTAAACCAGTTAGGAGAGCAAAAACAAAAATACAGAAATATCTTGAGAAAGAGTGAAAAGTGTTTAAACTGGCAGAAAATGTATGTTTAGGGCCTCATTTCTCAAAGTAAGAAGCTGATTCAGAAAATGTGTTTTCAGAGCCTTTGACACCTCAGTAAATTTTAAAAAATTACTACAGAGACTCTTCCTGTAAGTCAGTTGTAGTGTTGTTGGCATATTTCAGATTTGTTTTCTGATTATTTGACCACAAAGTCAACTTGTGAAGTAGTAACTGCATACTGTTTTTACACATTGTTTCACATCACAACAGCTATATTTAATATACTGTATGTAGTGTAGCAGCACTATAAAATATGAAAAAATCTATAAATAGGCAGCACAGCATATTAGAATACTTCCAAAAAACAAAATCACTGAGCAGAAGGTAAATAAAACTGTGTTACAAGCGCAGAGACAGATATGTGTATTAGTGCATTATGATGAAAGCAGACAAAACCGTGATCTTGATTAAGATATGAAAACGTATTTGTCTGATACAGACCTGCATTCAGTTTCCTCCAGTTGATCTCACTGAAGAAGGGATGCGCCCTGAGCTCGTCACATGATCCGTTCTTGAAGCCGAGCCTCTTGTCGACCTCTTTGAACAGCAGACCTTCGCAGATGGACCGGGCGTTCTCGCTGAACTTCTCTGGATACATGACTGTATCATTCAGGATCCGCTTCTTTACCACTTTGTTCTCCACCTTCAAACAGCACAAAGAGCAGCAGGGATTAAGTTAAACCTCTCATTACATTCATTACATACATCACATTATCACATGTCACATTAGTTCACAATAGATACAACTCTGTGAATAAAGCAATAAAGATAGTAAACAATTCTGCCTGTTCACTTTAAGGTTAGATGAAGGGGTGAAAGGTAACTACAAAGTACATTGTCTCTGTGCTTAAGTACATCATTGAGGTACTTACTTCATTGAGTAATACTACAGTATTAATTTTATACTACTTTACACTAATGTGATATTACATGTTTACTTAAGTAAAACATATGAATACTTCTTCCACCACTGGTTAAATGAGGGGCCAGGGCTTCTTATTTCACTGCAGTATCAGCATCAGGCCACAAGTGGGCAAAGTTGAGCCATCATATTTTAAAAAGCTGTTACTGTATTATCAGTTTTGTAAAGGCAGGTTTAAATATCACATGACAGAAAAATATAAGAGCTAAGAAGACTGCGAGGAAAGAGGCAAAGAAAATGGAACCAAAAGATTAAAAAAATTAAAACAATAAAAATAAAAACATCTAAATAATTTTAAAAATGCTTAAAACATGGATTGAGAATAGGAAAAGCAGACACAAGGTCATACACAGTATATATGTACCTTCTCTCCTCGGGTCCTGAACGGTCCCCTGGCAGCCATAAACTCATACAGAGTGACCCCCAGAGTGAAATAATCTACAGAGTAGTCGTACTCCTCTCCTTTCAGCAGCTCTGGAGCCATGAAACCTGCAGGTCATGACCTTTCAGTTAGAGAGTGGACATATAAACTGCTGAAAAGATCAAAATTATACATTGAAAATAGTTCTAAAAACATACAAAATACAAATACACCCGTACAAAAGGATTACTACACGTTTGCTGTGGTCAGGATTTTAGAAATACTGAGGCCAGAAGTCCAAATTCCTCCAAACAGCCACCTAACTGAGAAACTTCTGACTATTCGTGTTCTGCCATTTATGTTAGCAAATCTCATTTTATATTTTGATTCTTTGTCAGATATTTGCTCTATTACAAAGTGGCAGGATAGTTTCAGTCCAGTTATTCACGTAACACTGGTTGGCAGTTGCAGTCCGTACACACTGCAGTTTGTGGTATTACATGGAACAAAGTAAATGTCATGTATTAATTACACAGTGACAAAGACAAATACTGTACAGCTTTAGGTTTTGTTCATATATCCTGTTGCAGCTATAACCAGGTACATGTCAATTTGTGATTATTGTTCCGACTGTACCTGGAGTCCCAGCGTAGCCCTTGGTTTTCAACTGATCATCAGCCAGCTCCACAGCCAGACCAAGGTCAGAGATACGGACGTTACCTGTGAGAACAAACACCAGGGCAATGTCAAGAGCTGTGCACGTCACAGATATGAATGTTGACCTGCACACTACGTCTCTGTAGTAGCACGATAACTGAAAAACGTCCTTGTGTTAGTATAATAAGACACTGTGTGTACTGTAAGTTTGAAATTATGTGAGTGGTTCGGTGGGTTTATACAGCGAGTGTGTGGTGTGTTTTGACCTCAGGAGGCTAAGAATGGGACATATTTTTAAAGTCAAGATAATTTGATCACAGTGAAAAGCACAAATTAGTATATATTGTGTTTACAAGTGGTTTTAAAGAAATTGTTTGTCATTTTGGTTTAAAAAAATGCCTATTGATAACACTAGTGCTATCAATCTCCCTGTCTTACTTACGGCACAAAAGCAAATAAAAAAATTCTATATGGTCTTAAGTGTTTAAATGACCTCTAAGTGGTTAAATGAACTTCTTCTGTAGAGTTGCATTACCCCAGTTTGACAGTCACATGAATTACCAACAGCACACACTGTGAGAAAACTGAAGTCTCAAAGAAGTTACTTCAGGCTGCACTTCAGGACCAAACACGAGAGACTACATCTTTCTTTCTTTTTGTACTAGCTGACCTTGATTATCCAGCAGCACATTCTCTGGTTTGAGGTCCCTGTAGATGATCCTCTTCTGGTGGAGGTGCTCCAGGCCCTGGATGATCTGAGCAGCATAGTAACAGGACCGTGGCTCGTCAAACCCCGGGTTATTCTCATCCACGTTATAAAGGTGATACCTGGTGGCACAAGAGAGGAAGGGGGTAGGGTATAGACTTTTATTTTATAGACACATTGTGCTCCAAAGTGGTAATTCTAATATGATTACATATATATAAGTTTATACAAGAAATATACACTATATGTGGACATTAAGGACACCCATACAAGACATGACATTTAAAACAATCTGTAAAAAAGAGAATGGGATTGTGGAGCAACATCAGGTGCAGGCAACGTGAATCATTGATCCCAAAAAGCCAAATAAATACAGAATCTAAATTTGAATGCATAATCCTTATATCAAAATACTCATTGTTAATACTGGGTTGCAAACTGTTTATTTGATCCCTTTGGCAGGCCCTGAGGAAGAGACTGAAACATGGAGATGTTGTGGTCAGCATGTCAAGTGAATGAGATGGTGTCTAACCTCAGGTCTCCTCCGTTCATGATGGTCATGACCAGACACAACTCTGTTCTTGACTGGAAGGCATAGGCCAAAGAGACAATGAACCTGCTGTGAACTCGAGCCAGGACCCTCTTCTCCACCATCGCCCCCTACAAGACAGGAAGGGACAGCAGATAAGAGTGCAAAGCTGTTGGTAAGCTGAACTACTTGGCTGTTAGATTTCCACATAATTAACTTAAAAAGAGAGCATATTTCAAACACAGTGAACATATATATAAAAACTGGATTATTTTAACAATATTTTCAGAGGCACTGAAGCCACTGAAATTATTGTTTCTGTTTTGGAGACTGAGTAGAAGATTAGGAAATACACTCGAGAGCTGCTCCATTTATAAGCATGGTGGGATTGGTGCTTTATAAGAAGATCAAAATGTTCTAATGCTGTGGGCACTAATCATATAAGCCAAAGGTGCCTAACGTCGTCTGCAAGGCTCCATTACTGACTGTTGTTTAGAGGGGAGGATTAAACTAACACTGTACATAGAAAGCCTGGAAAACCACGAGTAAACCAGACCACAACTCATGTTTCCAAATTTTAATCACAGCACAAACTAATGTAATTTAGTTAACTGAGATCTTCTGTTGCATCTTGTCATCATCTGGTTCCTTACCTCATTGCCTTTTCTCTTCTTCAGCCTCTTCTTGTTGAGCTTTTTGCAGGCATACAGTTTCCCCGTGGCTTTCATTTGACAGGCAGACACTTCCCCAAAACCCCCTTTACCCAATATGCGAAAATCCACAAACCAATCCTCTTCTACGGGCTGCATCTCTAACCACTTCCACTGCAGAAACCTTTTCAGATACATACTCTCCAGGAAGAAGGTATAGGGTACCTCCTTGAGAAAGTCCATCACGTTGTCCATGGTCTCAGTGAAAAGATCATCCCCAGCCTCTTGGTGTTTCTCTTTGACTTTTGTGATGCCATTCTCTGGCAGGAATGGGCAGAAATACTTGGCACCAGGCTCCATGTACCGGGACATGATCTTGCTCGCTTTCAGGGCTCGAAGTTCATCCTCTGCCATGTTGTATTCCTCAATATCCTTCCACAGGCGGCAGGGGCCTTTGTACTCATTGTTGGAGTCTAGGAACTCCTGGAAGAGTCGTTTTCCGATGGGCTGCTCCACACAGACTGTCTGGAAGCCCAGGTCTAAAGTCTCCCGCAGGCCTTCACACACAGTGATATGAGGCAGCTTGAGGCGGGAGTGGTACTTCTTGTCTCGGTTGGATGCAGGGTTGGCAGTGCCATCAATGCTCCCGCGGGCCGAGATGTAGGCAGAGTTGGCCACCACTGTCGTCAGGCCACCAATATCCATGGTGACACAGTCGAAAGGTGAGGAGGAAGGGATGAAGGGATGTGTGAGATGCAACAGATGAGAAGCAAAGAAAATGAGAGCAGAGAAAACCAGATAGCAAAAAAGAAGAGCAGAGTAAAAGCAGATGATATATGACTAATTCCCTGATAAGAACTAGATGTGATGTGGTTTTCTTCCTCCGATGCAGAACCAGATAATATCGTACATTTGACTGTCTGCTCGATGCAGACAGCCAGTGTTTCCCTCAACGAGGCTATCACTAAACCTGTCCCTTCTCTTGCCCTTACACACACACACGCAGACACACATCTACCTGACTCATCACCTTTCCCCAAAGGGATTTATCCACTCTGTAACTCTGTAATGCTTTAGCCTGCGCTAACCCATGTGCATGCTGTTGAAGAAGAGAAGGGAACACGAAGAGCGAAACAAATACTCAGAAAAACACATGTAAATGAAGAGGAGAGACAGAAAAGGAAAATGAGAGAGAGAGAGAGGGAGAGGAGGGATACATGTGGTATGTAGTGGGCTGGTAATGTCAGGAATGCAGTGATGTTGAGAGAGACTGGCACAGCAGGCGCTGTCACAGAGAGAAATGGGAGGAAAGGCAAGTGTTTACAACAGCTTACATCAAGGGTCTGCAAAAGACTGGTCTTGTACTTTATTTATCTTTTATTTTTTATTTTTGTCAATTTGAAACCATATATCTCTCTATATCCCCTTGTGGGTGCAATTGTAACAGTGAAAAATAAGGCATATTAACCCACTGTAGCACACCTCAAAGTAATTACATTACTGTTGTGTGTCAAATAATGTTACTTTAAAAAAAAATGTATGGTTCAAATTATTAGATAGAGATATTAACAGAAAAACAATACGATTATGAGGAAATAACATTCATTATTTTTAAAGCAACACATTCTCTGATTATTTAAAAAATGTATGATATTAATGTAACATTTTCTAAAAAGTAGTAAAATATGACACATGATCTTGGAGCCATGATAAAATCTTGTATGGTAGTTAGCAATAGCTTTATTAGCACAGGCTGTTCATTTTTAACCAATAACCTTCATCTAAGAACCTTACTGAGCATGTGCAGAGTAATGGTCATCACTCTTGCTGGTTTCTGACTGGAGGAATCGAGTGTGTTACAATTTCCCCCAAGTCTCCCAAAAATGCCCCAAAAACAAAAATTATTAATCAATTAATGAAAATCCATTAATCAAGCAACAACCATGGTAGCAACTCTGTGAAGTTGTACTTTAGCACAACAGGGTTTTGAGCTAACGGTCGTCTTATAATGTCGGTATTATAATATCTACCATGTTCACCATCTTAGTTTAGTGTGTTAACATGCTAAGATTAGCGAATTAGCACTAAACCCAAAGTACAGATGAGGCTAACAGGAATGTCATTATTTTTGCATCAATAGTTGTTGAGATATGTCAGTCAGGTACCTACCTACTGCTACATAAAAGTGCCATTTGGTTTGGGCTTATTAAATGTGAGGATTTGCTTCTTTTCTCTGTTTTATTCACTGCAAATTGAATATATATTATGGTTTTCAACTGACAAAATATGCAATCTGAAGATGTCACACTCGGTTCTGGAAACATGTGTTGGGCAATTTCCACAATTTGTGACACTTAATGGGTTCAATTCATTGACGGTTGTCAATGTTCATACTTGTTTCAGTTGTTAATGTTGATCCAATCTGTGATGACATTGTTACAGTATCCACTCCCTTTAAAATGTTGTTTTTCTGACTTTAAATAAAGTAAATTTCAAGCCCGAATTGCCTCTCCGGCAGGTACCAGAGTGGTTTTTGTGCTTCAGTATGTTAATCATGTCTGAGCAAATCATACGCAGTCGTTCACCTTGACTGTTGCTGGTAACCGAGCTGCCCGGCTGCTCAAGGTGATCCTGAGGTTTCTCCAGGAAGTGAAGGGGGCGTTGCTGCTGAAGAAGAACGTTTACCTGTTTCTACATTGGCCCACCTCAGCCTCCCTACCTGCAGCATGCCCACCTTATCTTGACCTTATAAATAGTGAATAAGAGATAACACATACATCACACTCTGGAGCGAAAGGTCCAGGGAGTGACTTTTAGCTTTCACTGCTACAACAGAGAATGAGAGAGTGGACGAGACATTAGCACAAACCTGAAAGTGCTTGGGGAGGGACAGGAGAGAGGAGAAACTAATATTACTGTTTGTGTCTTGAGTGAGGAAGGGAAGAAGAGAAGCAAAAGTTCAGTAAAGTAAAAGAAAGCTGTGGGTCCTGGTCAGCACAGAGCTTCATCATGGCCACCTTGAAGGAGAAGAGGACTTGTGGGCAGCGATGTGAAGACTTTGGCCGTTTTGTCTGGAACTCCGACAATGGGACGTTTATGGGGAGAACACCAGAGAAATGGGGTAGGGATAAAATAATAGCTGCATCAGCCTCTCTCGTGCAACATTAGCTAAACCTATGGCTCATCAGACGTATTATTAAAATTATCCTGAAGGAAAAGTGTCCTTCATTTGCTAATGATGAGGTTTTACTTGAGGTGACAAGTGTTCCTGCCGTGCAATTTGTTGATTGATATATGTTGCCTATGACGTTTGCATAGTTTTTGCATTGCTGGTGACCAATGCTACCATCTATCTAATATTTAAACTGAAGAACAGACATAACATTCAATGGTATTAAAGAGCCAAATCAAGTGAGTATTTCCCAAAGTTATAATCTTTTTAGTAAAAATTCTCTCTTTTTGTTTCTTTACCTTTCCTTCTGTACTCATTATGCAGCAGAATGACTCCTGTTGGTGTATTATTTTATTAGTGGATTGTTATTACTAAAGCCATAAAATGTAAGCAGTATTTTAATGTTGTATCTGGTTGAGTTATTTTCAACTACTTTGTACACTGTTGGGCAGTTTAATTTGTAACAGTGCTTTATGTGTTATAAGATCCTCATATCAGAAACAGAATCAGATCTAGGAAATCCTCACAAAAAAACATAGTAAGAGAAAAGAAAAGCAAGTGTTGCAAAAGTCAAGAATCATAAATAAAAAATAGAAAAATGTACAATAGAAAAATATGAAATATATATGTAAACGTAAAATATATTTATTTTTTAAATGAAAAGAGATGAAGGAATGTGCAGATTTGCAGTATAAAGTATAAAGAAAATGTGTAATATGCATAGATAATAATCTGAGAGACTGTATGTTAATGTGACATGTTGTGCCCATGGGGTGAGACACTATCAGGTGAAATAAATGTGGTAAATGTACTTTGTTACTAAATGCCCAACATGCAATGTATACGTGTGTGTATGTGTGTGTGTGTGTGCTGTGCTGTGTGACTCCTTCGGTCCTTTTAATATCACCACAGAGAGGTGTATGTTTGCAGCATGTGGGCACAGAGAGATAAGCCTGCTGTTGTGATAAATCCTTCCCCTTATGTTTGATCTTACAATCAGATTAAACTGATCTCATATTGACAGAGGACACCTTGACCTCTGAAACATGTAGACGCACACCTTTACCAGCACACTGCAAACTCTCTATACTTTGTATCATGCTTGTTTTCACATTTAGCTTTACTGCCTTGCATATTCTGTAAATAGAGGAAGAATTTGAGTTTGAAAACTTTCACAACAGCTCAAAAACAGCTTTAAAATTTGAAATTTGACAACATCAGAGGGCCACTGAGACAAAGAGACACTCACAGAGTGATGCAGCAATAAACATGTGCTTCTGACTGTGTGTGTTAACAAAGAAACTCTGCATTAATCTCCTTTGCAGTGTACATCAGTCTGTATTATGTGGCCTTCTACGTGGTGATGACATCCCTCTTTTCTCTGGCCATCTGGACCCTCATGTACACTTTGAGTCCTTATGCACCGGACTATCAAGACCGGCTAAAATCTCCGGGTAACACAAAAACAACAACAACAACAACAACAACAACAACAACAACAACAACAACAACAACAAGGAGTTAATTTAAGTTGACAACTTAAGTGGCTCTTAACCAAATCTCTGTTTGTTTGTCCGTTCAGGGGTGATGGTGTGGCCGGACACTTATGGAGAGGAAGATATTGAAATCACCTACAACACATCAGACAAGGCCTCCTGGATGAAAATGTCCAACATCCTTCATACGTTTTTGGAGCGTTAGTATTTACTCACTCGACCCCGTTGGACAGTAATTATTTAATAAGGTCATACTTCCAAACGTCTAAATATTTCATTTTCTCTCTTCTTCAGCCTACAATGACACCAAGCAGCTTGAATGTAACAACTACAACTGCACTAAGGGAAAGTACTTCATCCAGAAGACCTTCTCTGCCCCCCACCACACCAAGTGGGCATGTCCATTCACACAAAGCATGCTGGGACCCTGCTCAGGATTAGAGGACCCAACCTTCGGCTACAACTGCACCATGCCTTGTGTCATCATTAAGATGAACAGGGTACGTTTAACTTATGAATATCTTGGCTATTGTAGTACATTATAATAATTAAATCACACTAAATAACCATGACTAGAGTAAATTTAAATATTTTGTATATATTCTGTTTTGTCTCTGCAGATCATTGAGTTTTTGCCTTCTAATCACACTGAGCTTCCCCCATACGTCAACTGCACTATACTGGTGAGCGATGTCTAAATATACTGATTTTAACAGCATACATTAAAGAAAATGAGTCTGTCAGACAGTTCAAAGAAACAATGATCAGAATCGATGCAGCAGAGGCAGACATAAAAAAAAGATCCTACATTTCCCATAATGCACCTTTCATTAGACCCTTCTTGCCTGTTAAACGCCCCTACCTTCCAAACATCAGTGTGTATCAGACTTTCTGTTATAAATATGTAGTGTCTATGCCAAGGGTTAAATTGTCAGACTTGACAGCTCCTCCAGGTTCACATGAAATATTATACAACTGTTTTCTTAGGCTGAGTAATATACTATTACATATATTATTATACCCATTACATATGAGGAAATTCTGTGTTTGTGTCTGTGTCTGTGTATGTGTGTGTTTAGGACGGACAAGCCAATGTGGACAAAATTGAGTATTTCCCTGACAGGGGAATTTTGGATCTCTCTTATTTCCCTTACTACGGAAGACTGGCACAGGTAACAGACAACGCTTTGTCTTATTCATAAAACAATATCAGTCATTAAATTGTCCTCTATAAAAATAAGGCTGGATTTCCAACTGGACAATTTTAACATGAAATAGTAGGATAAACACAGGTGTTACCAATGATACTAATTAAGGTTCTGTTCAATTTAGGTCAAACAGAGTCAGGGTGCTGTTTTTGTGCATGTTGGCTTACTGGAAAGACTCTAAATGAAATGCAGTATTAATTAATATCCTTGCTTACCCTACTATTTTATGTGAAAATGGCTGCTATGAAAAAGGTCTGTTGACAGTTGTTGGTGGTAAAGTGCTGAAAATATGCACATTTACATTTTCAACCGTTGTCAGTGGGCCCTGTGTCAAAACATATATGGCAAACTGTTTCTTTAAGTTGTATTAACATGCTGTATACAAATAGAAATAAATCAAACACATGACAGTAACCAACGCTCTGCATTGCCTCCTTCCTCCTTTTCTTCAGCCTACTTACGTCAACCCGTTGGTGGCGGTTCGGTTCAGCCTGGTCGGAGAGAAGCACGCCAAGATCCAGTGCCGAGTGGTCTCCGACAAGATCAGCTACGAGAACTTCCACGACCCCTACGAGGGAAAAGTCATCTTCTACCTCAAAGCAGTGAAATGAGAAACAGAAGCTCCGATATAATCATGTAACAACTCACCTGTCAGTATCAAAGCTACAGCAGGTGTCTACAGATCAATAGTGACTATTATTTAAACCACTTGTATTCAACTTAACCCAACAGTATAGGCCCACTTGTAAATCTCTGTGCTGTATGGTGCTTTTATAGACATGATTTTGTCAAGCTTTGCTGAATTAACAACTCTTTGAACTTGTTTGTTATCTGATTTTTATGTTTTATGTTAAGATAAAAAGTAAAATCTATATCTAAATCTATTTATTGTTATGCAACCTGGTGCACGCTAACATACTTAACCTCTGTCTGCCTTCTTCTCCTCTCTTCATACTCCAGAAAGTAAACACAAAAACCTGAGGATGTCAGGTTCTAGAGGGAAACTAGATACTATATTCTTAAACACTGCAGAACATGTTCATGTCATGACAAATGTAGCTAATGCATTTTTCAAATGTCTTTCTAAATAAAACTCAATCCAATTTTAGTTTGGTCTCTAGAGTCTCAGTGTTTAGGGATGATTGATTGTTTGCCAGCTGGTGCAGAGGAATGTAAACCAGACAAACACAAAAATATATTCCAGCACACACCAGGGTACCAGGATTAACACTGTTTTAGTTAGCTCCTTTTTGTTGTGTTTTTATCGAAATAAAACTGTCAATCCTAATATCCTTGTGGTTACCTTTTAACAAAATCAAAACAGTAATGAAGCTGTTGAGAAAGCGGTACACCTCTAAAAGTCAGTTCAAGTAGAGTCTGTAGAGTATCTGTAACTGGCTACCCCCGCTAATAGGATGATGATGGTGATGAGGTTTCTCACAAATGTGCTGACGGCAGAGTTTGTGGGTTATCAGCTTACACAGTGCGAGTGTGCTTGCATGCACACGCACACAGACACACACACACACACACACAGACGTCTCATATGAATATGTCCATTTATCAGCTTCTCTATTGTATGAAGAGGGAAGAAAAATGCAAATACAATGCCGTCATCAGAAAGTAGATGTGTTTAGTAGCAGGGTGGAGAAGTGGTTCCCAACATAAATGATTTGTGATGAGGAGATAATTACAAAAATGTCATACACAAACTCACATTTGTTTTGTGAAATACTGAATACTTTAATCACTTTGGGGCTTCTAAAAAACTTAAAAAGAGAAAGAAAAGTCCACATTAAAACAATAATCTGTAATGAGGTGTCATAAGTGACGTTTCATTTTTAAGGGTCCAACGCCAAAAGGGTTAGGAACTATTGAAATAGAGAACTCACACTGGCACTAAGGTCTTAAAATGCCAAATATTTGATTCATAAATGTGAAAAATCCTTCTCCTATGCTTGTGGAATAAAGCTTTTTTTGTGCTGACAGAGCCTGATGTCTGTAGTTCTTTATCGTGCAACTGAGCTCCCGAGTTATATTAACTAATAATTAACAGTAAAGAGGCGGGAGAAGGAGATGAAAGTGATATTGGAAATTATAGCTTCATGGTCGGCTGGAGGGAGGTCTATAAAACAGCTTGGTGATATTCCCAATGCACAGATATAAAATCAGATTGATTTGACATAGATGATGCAGGTAAACATGTGTGGGCCGGCTTCCTTTTAATGGGATAACATCACCAGGTGTCAGATTCAATGTTGCATTCACTGGAGAAAAGACAGAAGACAGTATTATTATTACAAGACCTGATTGTCTTTAGCAGTGCGAGATTGTCGGGAATGTTAATATTTATGAGATTACTCATAATCAGACGATTCATTTTTATGTTCCTCCGAAGTACTGCAAAGTAAGACAGAGTCAATACTTCTTTGTCATCTTATTTTAATAAATAAATGAGTTAATTAAACATTTCAAAAATACATGAACATTTTGATGAAAAAAAAAAGCATTTCTTTGTGCCCGGAAGCATCAGTCAATGCCACTAACATGTATGTAAACTCAAACCACTACACAATATAAAGAAAAATCCCTCTGTGTTAACATACTGCAGGAAAATATAGCACACAAAACAAAATGTAGCATCTATGTAGCCACACACGTACATTCACATTGCACATTATGGAAGATACGACAAGGACGTTTACGAGATGCCACAGAGGTTCCCTCTCGCAGTGAGATTACACTCCTCAAAGTCTCGCTTTTAGTGAAGAGCAGGCACATACGTTTGACATTCAATGGTAACTAGTGCAGGATTTTTCTTTAGATGTAACATCAGTAAATCAGTTCTGATGATTAACTTCTGTTCTTGTGAGCTGCTATCTAATATTTCATTATCTCCATTTCTTACGTTTTCCTAATGTGCATTACACCAGGGATTACATACATCTGACAAGCATGGAGAGCCTAAAAAAAAGACGAGTATAGTCTTGGCAAAAGGAATTATTGTAGTTCTTAGGTAACACTAACATGTGTCATCACAGCTAAACTCTCAGTAGTACAATGATTAGAATACACTACAAGTACCATATATTAAATACAGTAAATAGGAGGTTTGCACTTCAGTAAAAATCCAAAGGTGCCATTTATAAATCTAAATTTGAAGGTAAATGGTGGAAATTGTAGTGCGACCTAGTCAAATATACGGGAAATGGAAGCAATTTTAAATCTCACACAAAAAGTTTTTCCTATTAAATAAAATCCAAACTAAAATGTTTAGATGCATGGAAAAATAAAACAAAAACATGAAGTCAAACCTTCAGATTTGGTCCTTGTGAATGTAAGAAAGAGAGAAACTTGATGCAGGTAAAAAAAACAAACAGTGGAAAAGAAGATCTTTCATATAGACAGTGGAGAGGGGGTATCTGATTTTCTTCATAATGCATTAAAAAGTGCATTAAAATGGGATATCAAGTACTTGTGCTTCTCCACTAAACAGCCAAGCAGGTGTGCCTCTTATCAAGAGTTGTTGGTTTTTGCTAAAAGAGTGGATGTTTCACTGATACTGCAATTTTATAGAAATGATTTAAGTATGATTTAAGACCTTATTCAGTATCAGTACCTATATGTAAACACTGGTGAGGAGCATGGATAGTCCAGGAGAAAAATCTATTGGTTGACATAAAGCAGAAGATCTTAACAATCTGAAGGAGGTACTTTTCAAGAAGTCAAAATGTAGCTGATGAAGATTTTCTCTCCTTCTCTAAANNGTAGTATCGTGTGCATTAACATGAGATTCTTTCTCAATGGTCATATAAGACTTAACTTCCGGTTCTTGTGATGCTGCTGCCGGCTTTCTAAGAGCTTCACGTGGAACCTTTCGGCCCTGAAGTCAGTCTGGTCATGTGACTGTTTTGCGTTCGGCTCTGGGAACCCATTTGTGTGTGCTGACCCTCCACAGCACTGGTGCCAGTAGCAAACTAAGGGTGGTGACACTGAGAACCAGCAGGTACACCTGAGCAGAGAGAGACATAAAAAAAATTATATTCAGAAAATTATGATCATAATATTTCATTAGATCTTATGTTTTATATGACTTTTAGCCAATGTTGACGCCTCAAGGAGGTATATGGACATAGTTACACACACAAAAAAAAAAAAAACAGAAAGTCAAATAATAGCTTAAAGGGTCAATTCACGCAAATGGTATCTAGCCCCACAGATAGCTGTCTTTTTATTGAATAATTTTTGAGGGCTTTCATCCAATCCAATCCAATATTTAGCACGATTTTAGCAAACACAAGGTTTCCAAAGTGCTGCACAAAGGATAAACACAGGGGCACATCAGACAGGCCCTTCCTTACCGTCTCCTCTTTTATAAATCTCTTCCTTAAAACCCCACCTCTTCTCTTTGCTTTTGGATTTTTTTTTATTGTAATTTTATTTTATTGTTCTATTGTCTACTTCATCTTTTAATTGTAGCTTTTATTGTGCTTACTATTTAT